TAATTTAAATTATAGGATATTTATTTGATTTAACTTTGAGGACTTGATAACTTTCTATAATCGATTACATGTTTTTTAACTTAAATCTAACATCACAGGTCATAGGACTTTTTGGGAAAAGCAATGCAAAAAATTTTCTCTCTTACTTTCTTTCTCTTTCTTCTTTCTATCTTTCCTGCAAACTTAGGGCTTTATGCATGCGAAGCAAGTGCTTTATCACTCAGCTACATCCTTGACCCCATTAATTTTGTTCTGATTCAATTTGTAAGTCATGTCAACAAGCCAAAGCATGTCTCAGAATATGCTCTTCTGTTTTTAATATATGTTTTTTTCAAACTTGACTTTTTGGGGTTACCTTAATATGTTTCATTTTCCATTAGGTTAAAATTTAAATGTTTAAAGCAATCCTGAGAGATTTATTTGGGCCATATTTACAACACTGCTTTATTCCATTCAGTACAAATTGTACACAAGTGAAATTTAATAGTCATAGAGCTTTAGATTCCAGAGAAAGAACTAAGAACTCTTAATGTCATTCATACTAGCACTCAGAAAATATACTTAGCAATATAGTGTTTTGAGACAGGTTTTCACTCTACCCTTTTTTTTTTTTTTTTTTGGTACTGGGGATCAAACTCAGGACCTTGCACTTGTGAGACAGGCGGCGGAACCACTGAGCTAAATCCCGGGCCCACTTAGCAATATAGTGATGAAGGTTATTGTTTTTATAATTTCTCTTTCTTGGCAAATCATTTACCTGGCGGGCATCTGTCTGCTATAGAGGAAGCTCTATGAGCTCTGGGGATGAGGAAGGGAAAGGTTCACTTGTTTTCACTAAGCAAAGAAGCCAGTTCCTACACATGTGAAGTTGGGAGATTTGTTTTCCTCCGTGTTCTCAGGAAAACGTCTTAAGAACTGCTAAGACCTCAGTCTGTAATTGTTACCTTGTCTGCCTCCTCGAGTGAAATTTCACAGCCCAAAATGGATATTAGAACTTCCTCGAATCATTGCTTCTCTACTCTCCATTTTAAAAAATATTTTAAGCAAATTCTAGTCCATTTTTAGAGATGTTCATGGATTGAATATATATTTATGACACTGAAAAAATGAATTCAAAAAGAATTAATAGATAAGTTAATTAGCTTCTGATAATCCAAAATATTCTGTAAAATCTGGGGACTTTTAACAAAATATTGCTGAGCTCTTTTGTGACTCTACAGTGTAAAAGTCCATATTGATCTCATATTGCATTTATCAAAGGTTATTGTTTAAATATTATTTCTATCTAATGAACTTTGGTATTCATTATATACATTAATAAAATAAATGAAATTTGAATTATGAAAACCATTTTCCATTAAAAACAAAATTAACCAATACATGTTAAGCATGTTTATAAAAATACATTGTTGCTTTTCCATGTCCTTAATAATGCTTGTTGTGTAGTACAGACATAACTTTATTTTTTTCTGTGTGTCTACATGAAATGTGTTTAGGTAAACTATAATAATCATGTTCCTAAGAAACACTGAGTTATCTTAAAGGATATTAATTTTGTTCTAGCAACACCATTTTTGGAAATCTCTACTCTAGAAAAACCTATGCATTGAGAAAAAACAAAAAAGGATTGGAAAAAAAGAAATAGTAGCATAGGTACGAAACCATTTAAAGGATTAGTTGTACCCCACACAATAGGTTACTATTTAAAAAAGAGGATAGAAGCAGCTCTCTGTACATGGGCATAGAAATATCTTTATGGTAACTTAAGTGACAAAAAAGTGACAGACATTCAAAATAATATATCCATAACATCATAGTTTGGATAGTTTGATTTAAAAAGAATATTTACTTGAATTTATACAAAATAGTAATTTATTTATAAGAAATAAATTAAAGTGGCACAGGAAGAACAAATTAGATGACAATGATGAAAATAAATTAATTCAGTGTTTACTTGTGTTGTAATTTTTAAATGTTTCAATCCCATAGATGTAGGATTAAAATATTTTTATCTCCCAAAATAAAAATTGTACAGAAAGAAATGATACTTTGATGAAGATAAAGAAAAGCTAACTGGAAAATAGTGTACTTTCTAGAAAATTCTTACAAATGGAAGTTTTGCTTTCTTTTGTTTTAACTTAATAGTTATAGATGTTAATAGCTCTAAATGTGTAACATAGAAATGTAAAATTATTTTTTCTTTGGCTTTTGTCCAAATGTTGTAGCTTTTAATTTTGTTGTTGTTGCTATTATCAACATTTTGATGTCTATTTTTTCTCATACATGTTTAGCAGTAATGACTTTTTTTGAAGCAAGACCAGTTACTGTAAAAAAACAGTTGTGTTAAGCAAAAGGTAGCTCACTCTCTTCAAATATTCTGCTAAATAAGTAATTGCTTTTCTCTGCTGATTATAGATTCCGTAATAGCCAGTAGGTCTTGAGATATTAAAATCACATTTAATTTTAATAGGTATTCCATTTAAATCATATTCTATTTTAATAATGTATTTTTACTATTAAGTAATTATAAATATTTGAGGAGATAGATATACTTACCTTGATTTAAATATATATATATTTCACAGTAACTCATAAATACATTCAATCTTTATGCTGCTAATTAAAAATCAAACTAGACATAAAAAAGAAAGAATATGATATTATGCTTTATACTTCGTTAGTCTTTTCTCTTTGTAATTAGCATTTTCTGTCAAAAATTACTATTCCCCTTTTCCTCAAGTTGTATATATTTACTAACATTCTATTTACTATGCATATCATTATGGTATGTTTTAAAAGTAGACATATGAAGAAAAAATGCTACACTCAATGTTTTTCATAAAAACTTCCATTGTACAAAAAATATCAAAATTTGTATTTAAATTATACATTTATATATAAGTAATTTCTATATACTTTTTTTTTTACAAAATTGGGACCTATTTCAGACAAAAAATAGTGAATGAAAATCTTTCTGTTTAAGAATTGTTATATGTAGTATGAAAATGGAATTTATATATGTGGTAATAGAAGGAACTGGTAAAGTTAATTAATAGAAGAATATAATGCATTAATTTAAAGAAATCTTGTAGAATTACTGTAATTGAAATTGGATGTGGTTAATGAAATATTTTCCTATAAAATAGTAGACTGAAAAGTCATTTGTAGAAAAAAATACTTTTCTAAAAACTATATGTAAAATAGATGTACATATGAATATATTTACTAAACATATATAAAAAAGGGATTTCAATGGATTTTAAATAAGTAATAATGATAAATATAGTGGTATGTTGGTTCATGAACACTTCTGTTTGCGAACTATTTAGTTCCCAAATTTCCCCCAAATTTTGTGTTTGGCAAAATTTTGTTCTGTTTACAAACTCTGCATCAAGTGATAAATACAAGCACAGCCATCTTTTCTGCACAAACACAAACGTGGCCATCTTTTCCAAAATCGTGGAACAAAATAAGTTCATGAACCAAGGTACCACTGCACATGCATGACAATTTTCAAGTTAACTAGACTTAACTTGTACCTTTCTCATTATTTTGCCTTTCTGATTCTTCTATTATATTACTTATGCTATTTTTTCCAAAAAAATTCTTAGTGGACACAGTGTTGCATTCCTGTAATCCCATCTATTTGGGAGGCTGAGCAGAAGTACTGCAAGTTGGAGGCCAACCTGGCCAATTCAGCCAGACTTTGTCTCAAAATAAAACAAAATAGGCTGGGAATGTAGCTTAGTGGTAAAGCGCTTGCCTAGTACATGTGAGGCAAAGCCCCTACACTAATAAAAGAAAAAACTCTATAATGTAAAATATGTTCTAAAACATCAGGGATTTTTGCATGTATTTTACTGTCCATTTCATTTCCACTTTTCTAATTCATCCATTAGATACAAGGTAGAGTATCATAAAATAATATGTCTGTTATGTTTCTACAGGCAATTACATTGTTTAATCTTCTACCTTATTGCAAATTAGTTACGACTTCATCACCAATATAGGTGAAATATTTTGCTTCCCATTTAGGATGAAATTCAAAAGAGAAGTGTTATTTCCCTGTCTCCAGTTTTGTCAGTTTCATGCAGAACCAGCATACAGAGAGTAAAAATGAAAGCAACCATAATTTCTTTTAAAAAACCTAACCTAAAAAATGTTAAATCAAAATTTAAAATTTTTAAACTATATTTAAAGTTTCTAAAAGGAAGATTATTATATTTTAGTCTCTAAATATACAATACTAGTAACAGGATGAGATAAATAATATGATTTTCCTACTCTGGATAGTTCTGAACCTTTCTAAGAAGCAAAAAAACAATCCCATCAGCTGACAAACTCTAGACAAGCAAGGCATCCCCACTTGCTTAGAACCTCTACTCACGGTTCTGAGTCAATCAGAATAGATGGTAAAGTAATTCAACGTTCTACTATGTATGCTGACATGCCCAGAAGGTGAGAAGGAGCAAAGTACTGATACAAATTGTTTTCTTCTACATGTAAATTATATTCTTCCCTTTCATGATGATACTAAATGTCTCTACAAAAGTATAATCTTACATACAAAGCATTTTCTAAAAATGACTCAGAAAATATTGGATCTATGTAAAATAAACTATCACAAAGCCAAAAACAAAATCAAAAAAATCCTGGGAAAATGTGACTGGCTCACTTCATACAAAAATCTACCTTCACGGTATTCAAGTCTATCAACAGTATCAAATGACAGAGTTGGTTGATAAAGGAGGCTCATAGAACTCAAAATGACAGCCCTTACAAATCTAGTTTACAAGATAAGGATGTAATTTAACAACAGCATTTAATAAAGACACTATCTGGCAAAGTCCGGCTCAGTAGCAGGGGTCTGTGCCTTTCTTCTCTGCCCTGGCAGGACACGTTCTGTCTTGGATTGGGAATCACTGGCAAGTACATAGGATATCATGATACCACAGCACCCCAAATGGAGTATCACTGGGGATTTTTATATTTTTCTCACCAGAATCAAAATTTTGCTAAGGCAAGGTAACCTGCCTTGGCAGCAGAATTCTCTGAGGGTCTTATTATTACCAGGGACAAATCTTCTATCATATTGTCACCAAGAAATAATGCTGACAAGCTGGTATAATCCAGCCCCTAATTTCTTATAAAATGACACTGTTAACCCGAGTGTCTTATGTCTTGTCTGGAAGTTAGGGCCATGTGGAATTCCAGAAAGACTGCTTGAGCTGATTCTAGTCTGGTTGAAATTAATTCTCATAACATAATACAACAATAAGCCAAAGACTAGAAGCTCAATGGTGAGAAATTGTGAAAGATATAATCATATACTTCATAACAAAAAAAACCACATCTGACTCAATATGTGAAAAGAATTTCAGTCTCAAACAAAAAGGTAACCATGGATTCAGATGATACTGAGCCAATGTGCAATAGTATATTTAGAGGGCAATTTGGAAATACGTAACGCAATTTAAATGCATACTTGAAATACCAACTCGTCTTAAAATTATACTTACACATGTGTAAAACATGTAAAGACTAAGATTCTTTATGCAGTCAGTTTTGAAATACAAAAAGATTACACATAACCCATAGGCAATAGAAAAGTTTGTAGAAAATCATGATACATCCATACAGTGGAATCCTATATGGTTATAGTGAAAGAATGAGAGAAAGCCCTGAATGTATTGATATGAAACTAACCAAAATATATTGTAAGTAATAAAAGGTTCAGCGCTACATAAACACACTGTCTGCGTAAAGGGTGTAAATGGAAGAGAGAGAACTTTATATTCATTGGTTTGTAAAACTGAAATTACCTTTGGAAAAAAATTTTAGAAATTGGTAAACCTCTCTGCTCTGGGGGAAAGAAACTGGGTGAATAAAGAAACAGGAATGGTGGGGGCTTTTTGCTCTGCATTGTTTGTAGCACTTGATTCTTAGTATAAATTTTAAATAAAACCCTAAATAATGCAAATTCAGGTCTCAAAGGTAATCAGTAGTAGCCAGGGATTTAGCTCAGTGGTTCCGCTGCCTGCCTCGAAAGCACAAGGCCCCGAGTTCGATCCCTGGTACCAAAAAAAAAAAACAACGAAGATAATCAGTAATCTTTTCCTTAGTCTGTGTTGAAAGATTACTTTGTTCTGAGATTCCAGCCTTTTCTTAAGAAGAGTGTTACTGTCTTTAGTGTTTCAGGCCACCACTACCATAATGAAGCAAGAAGAAAAACTCATCCAGCGGGATAGAGAACTGTTGAACTGCACACAGTGGGAGAAAAAATATACCCTGCAGAGGAAATATTACCAGACCTTACTGCAAAACGTTTTCAGTTCAGGTAATTAATATAATATCAGTTTTCACCATGGAGATCTGAACACATGCACCAATTCCTCAAAAGAAACAAACACCACATGTTTTGTTCGCTGAATAAATTTTAGTCAGGGTTTGGTAGTAGGGAGACATAGTGCGATCACTCTTCAGTCTTTCTCATATTTTTAAATAGTGTATGAAAAACACTGAAGTTCCAAAAAATAAAGCTAAACAAAATGTAATGTAAAATGCCAAGGTGAAATGTGTTAAGTAAAATTTTAAAAGTAACCTTTTATTTTATCCAGTCACTCAAATTATAAGTGTATCTTTAATTCTAGCTCTGAGTATATTTAATTTAGTTATTACTTTAGATTCAAATTTAGATAAAGATTAGAGCAGAAAGATGATTGTGAAAGGATAAAATTACAACCACATGCAATATTCAGCTCTTTTAAAAACGTCTATAAAGGGCCAGGGATTTAGCTCAGTGGCACTGAGCTTGCCTCGTAAGTGCAAGGTCCTGAGTTCAATACCCAGTACCAAAAAAAAAAACCTCTGAAAAACCTCTGTAAAGCTGGAATTCTAAGGTTAGAATTCCCCAGTTTTATCTTTTATACTTTAAACATAAAATAGTATTTCAAACTGTTGCATTGTTTGTCAAGTATTCCATGGCTACTTAATGAGCATTTAATAATGCTCACACATCTGATTTAGAGAATTAAAATCCCTGTAATGATCATTTAAATAATGTAGCTGCCAATGAGAGATGCAAAAGATCTACCATAGTTACTTCTAATTGAAAATTATTCAAGTACTTGTTCTAAGAATCACTGTGTGCTCAATGGTGCTTAGAAGGTATACAGGCTGTTGCAAGCATGAGTCAGGCCCTTCTCAGAGCCCCCAGCCTTGAATCCCAAGACAGTACCCATTTTGGGGACCTATGAATCCAACGCGTTCTCCACCCCTTCAAATACCATTCTCAATGCTATCTAGGTTATAACTTTCACAATGTTTGGGAACTGATTAGCATGGATTCCAACCAAGGAATACTGAAGAGCCTTAAAGAACTCAACATCTGGGCAACGGAAACTACAAATGAACTACCTCACCCTAAATAGAAGGCCACTTTCTAAAAACTATAGCTCTGGAACTTTCAGTATCTTTCCCTCCATGAATTGTGTCACCATCTGTTAGTCAGATCTTGTTCGTTTGTTGTCTTTTGTGTCATTAGCCTTCTTTCTTTTGTGAGTACATTTTATTTTAAAACAAGGTCCTTAAAACTTATTAAATATTAATACATCTTAATTTTATCAAAGTCCAAAATAAGCACATTGTTCACTTTTTAAATTATTTATTCTTTATTAAAACATGTTTGTAATACATGTTGACATTTATCATGGGGAGTTGGTATATGTACATAACACATCTTAATTCCTTTTTGGTCCCCTTTCCCGTCATCTCTTTCTGCTCCAACTCTTAGTCCTCTTCACATTTGCAAAAGCTCTATTTTTATTTGTTTTAGTTCTTTTATTTTTCCCATTCTCTTTTCTTCACCCACTTCACCTCCTCCTCCATCCACTTCTTGTTTCCCTTCCCATTTGTAAAAGATCTCCTTACTTCCTATTATCTTTTATTTTGCTCTTTATTTATATGTTGGGTTTCTTATATAGGAAAAACCACACAATATTTAAGCTTGTGTTTTTACTTAATAATATGGACTCAAAGTGCATCCATTTACCTAAGAATGCCTCTAGCTTATCTTTATTTGTGGCAGAGTAATACTCCATTGGGTATAATTACCACATTTTCTTTTTTCATTCATCTGTTAATAGGCCATTTTCAAAATTTAATTTTTATAAATTGTATTGGTATAAACATTATATCCATGTAGCCCCATAAAATGATGATATTAATTCTTTTAGGAAGATACCTAGAAGGGGAAAAGCTGGCTCAAATGGAATTTCTAGTTTTAGTTTTGCAGGGATTCTTACAATATGTGGCTTACTATTCAACCCACCTAATGGTTTAGTACATTTCCAGCTAAACTGGGGCGGTAAGACTAACAGGCATGAAACAGTAAGAAAAAAAGAAAGGACTTTAAATAATGTGAATTCAAAGAAAGGAAAGATGGATAAAAGTTGAAATCTCAGGTCAATTTTTTTTTTATAAAAGACGAAGAATTTGAATAAACACACCTCCAAATCAATTCTAACTTGAACCAACTCTTTGAGAGCTATGGCAGGTAAGAATTATTATATAGTTCACATTGTATTCACCCTCAGAGAAGCTGGAATTGATAAGTACTGTACTATGGGGAGCATGAGTTTATTGTTAGAGTGTTGAGCATGGTTATTCTGGGGAGATATACTACTAATATTTTACAAGGATGATAATAAAGTAAAATATTTATGTTCAAAGCCCATAACTGTGGCCCTTGTCCACAAAACTGGATTCAGAATGGCAAAAGTTGTTACCATGTTTTTAAAATCTGGAAAACTTGGGATTCTGGTAAAGAGAATTGTTTGAAGGAAGGCTCCAGGCTTCTGCAAATAGACAGCAAAGAAGAAATGGTAAGTGCTGCTTTATGTCTTTTTCTGAAAATACCATGTTTCTTGTTTTTGGTACTCGGGATTGAACTCAGGACCTTGTGCTTGCAAGGCAGGTGGCAGAACCACTGAGCTAAATCCTCGGCAATACCATATTTCTTATTAGAAGAAAGCATAAATTCTCATAAGATAGAATTCCTTATTATTCTACAATAGTAGCATATTTACTAAAATAAAGATTTAGAGGATACAAGATAAAAAGAATGGTTTATTTTCCATTTAGTGGGAGAAACAAAAACAGCTCAGGTTTCCAGAAATCAAGAATATGTTGGGTCTATGTGCTAAAAAGGGAGAGGGAGTCAGAGGAATATTATTCTATGACACTCTAATCTACCTCAAGCTATACCACGTGATAATTGTATGACTTTCAATTTTGTAAGCAAATACAATAATTTATAATAATTATAATCAG